CAAAATATTTTCATTTTTATCACATGAAGGTGTGGTTTTTTGAACTTTATCTTCTTACACATTCATACGAAGGTTGCCACTTTGACTAAAAAAGGGTTTCCATTTGAAGGATATCTGCTGTAAAACTTTGCCAATATGTTTTTTCCACAATCTTGTGATAATAACTAATTTTAGACAATTTTTTTCATCAAGATTTACTCATTTACCTGCACCATCTTGCGGAACTCAATGATGCGACATGAGCCATTTGGGTCACTAGCATAGCTTCCCTTTGGCACACCCCAGAGAACAGGGTTATATCTTTCTTAGACATAGAACAGAAAATAGTTCAAACTTTAGCCATCAGTAAAGATTAAAAAGTTATATCATAAGAAGATTGCAGATCAATGGCTTACCCCCAATTATACCCATCTTCATTTTGGATGGTTGAGATAAGAGCTTGTTGTTCATCAGAATCTGGTGGCAATGATTTCAGCTTTGCAGTATCTGTTAATGGGTTTCACGCAAAAATGTGAAGAAACGGAAGATTTCAATTTTAAAAAACCAAAGCAACTAAACAAGTACACAAATGAAAAATAGAGCATTTCAGAACTCAGCCCTACCAAAAGATACATTGAAAATAAGTGTGAATCACACTTGCATCTAGAGCCTAGAGAGACACTAGCAAGTGCATCAACAATTACAAGACTCATGAAAGTTTAAGTATTGTTTTCCCAAAACAGCTGTGCTTGTGCACCATATCAGTTTGATTTATTTTCTAAATGTTCACATGTAGGCATTCAGGCAAAACAAACACCGTAATTCAAATAGACACCCCATTCAAGTCCAGAAAGAATAAAAATTGCTCAATTACCTGCATGCTTCCATTTATGTTTTTCGTCACCAACACCAGCAAAATGAAAGGTCGGAAGCAGATGGATATGCGTGATACCAGCGCTAGACAATTTCTTAAGATGAAGGACACCAGCTGAATCCTTCAATACAGTTGCAAGTCGTGGAGTATAAACAACGGGTCATCAGAAGAAAATGGATAACCTATTACTCTGTATATTAGTTGACCGAAAGATAGAAAAATATATCCCAGAAATTTATCCCATCAACATACAAGTTAGGTATATATACTACTATCAGGAAAACCATTTTCATATTTGATAATAAATACGGAGTAGCTTGTAAGGGAAAATTACCTGCAAGGTGAAAGCAAGATAACCACCGCGAAAATCAGGATGCACCGTATGATCATTGGCACTAGATATAGAAGAATGATAAACTAATTACTCCAAGATCATTAATATCAAATTATCAATTCAGATAAAGTGTGCGGCTTAGTAAGATATGCTAGTAATAGCTGTATTCTAACTAATGCTCATATGTTTAGAAGATCACGTTGAAGGAGGAAAAGAGAAAACAGCTGTCAAGTTGGATAACTCATAACTCATGCCTATGATTAGTCCCTAACCACTTCATAACTAAGTTTTTTTTGGATACCACGGATAGGATAATCAACTACGTAGTTTAGAAATTTAAAAGAATTTTATATTAGAAAGTTCCTACAGAAAAAACTCAAGCCGTGCTTTTCTTTTTGAAAGACTTCAAAAAAAGAATTTCATAATTAATTAAATGATCCTTACAATCACCTAAAATCTCTTATGTGCAGTTCGTAGATACTGATGTCAGCCATGGAAAGCAGATCTGGTTTCTCGTGCCCCAGATTGTCCCATCCTTCAGGCTTTAAATCATCACAATCAAGATCAACCAACAATGTTCGCCTTCCATCACAAGAAAGACTGCACAGAGCAAGAGACAACATAAGAAATTTGATAAAATACTGCTTTGGCGTTCTACCTCTGGTCCTTCAATTTTATTGGTTGTAGCATACAATAAATGACGATTAATGAGGGTAATATTGGTTATTGGTAGCACCAGACGTGCTTCATTACTTTTATTGGTTTGTGTAATTCTTTTCATGGCCGGTGTGTGTGTGTGTGTGTGCGCGCTGTGCGTGTATGTGTGTGGTTGGTACACAAAGAGTCCAGTATACCCTCTTGAGTATGGATCGCAAGTTAATGATGTCTCAATCTGGGAGGTGGTAGGATGATATACAGACACTTCATATGCATAGTAATAACCCTCCCAATGCCTTGGGAGTGTAGCAGTCCAAACATCATTTGCCTCCTTGAGCTCAACTATGTCAAAAGGATCACCATTCAATGGGCTGTTATAAATGAAAGCACGCACAACCTGCATTGGAACAACTATATTAGGGGTAAAACACAGCTAAAAAGTAAAGAACTAATAGAAGCATAGTGAGGAACTTGAAAATAAATCAGAAAGGTGAATAGCCTGTACTGTTGCAGTCGGTGCCCAGAGGTAAAGAGAAATGGCTTCACTTGAAAAAACAGCTCCAAGTGGACCAGTGTAGGAGAAAAGTTCGTCAATGATTCCAGGTAGCTGCAACCCAGTAGCACTCTTGCATTTACCATCAGCTACATGAGTATAACTTGTCACACATCAAGCCAGTAGGTGATGATGCAAATAAATAAAGAGATAAAGTTTACTCCTTACGGGTGAAGATAGCAACAGCCAATTGGCATTTGAGTAGATTTTCACAATCCAAAGGTTGAGGGACTTTGTATGTCTTATAATCTTGGATATGGGGAAATCTTTTAGTTACCTGGGCTTTTAGGAAAGAGATGAGTAAATTCCATAGTTGAAATCTAGAAGTTCATATAATAAGGATCTAATGCCAAAATCCATCCATAATGACTAATGATGAAATGTTTCAGCCACAAGCCTCAAAATGGATTAGGAATTTAGGATCTCACATATTGTGGAAGCCTGTCCTCTCCTTCCTTGAGCTTAATTTTACAATCATACCCTGTGATGCAAAGAAACATCAAAACTGGGGTTACAATCAGTTTCATGAGATAGATGCAGCATCGAAGAACAGCACACCTCGGATTGCATCATTGGTAACCGATAAGTTAGCATTTCTGCTAGCATAAAGGTAACATGCACCATCCTCAACATCCACATTCCAAGCAATTATCGATCTGCTTACCCAGAATGCTCTACAGTGCAACAACATACTCTGCAACCAAAAAATATTCAATAATTTTGAGGGCACTTACGTGCATATTATGCTCGAAATGAAATAAGACTCCAAACCCAGCAAGTAAACAAATGCCAAGCCACTTGGATATATCAATTTTCTCAATCATTTATCCAGCTCAATTGTTAGAACAAATGATTCTACAACCTAGAATATTGGAAGGTTGAAGCTGCAAGCTTCACTACAGTGCCATTAGCTTACACCTTCATTGACCCCAATGTTCAATGATGTGAATAAAATTGAAATGCTAAAGAAGAAGAAAAACAGAAATGCGAGCTCTGATGCGGATAGAATCTCCTCTTTGCATACCTCGGAATGCAATGAAGTATAGGCTACGCCTTCGAGAGGCATGTTTGAGCAGAGCAGATGAAACCGCCTAAGACGGGTCCGAAATTTGCGAACTGAGTCGGTGCCGAACCGCAGCGAAGTGAACAAAATAGGGCGATGCTCCGGTGACCGAGACGGGAGGCGGAGGCGGGTGAAGTCGGCGCCGGCGGGAGGGAAAATAGCTAGGGGAGGACCGGACGGGAGGAGAAGTGGCATTTGAATAAGCATCATCTAAATGAAAACAAACACTTCCTCAGTATTCCTCTACACTTCTACTTCATTTCTTCCACCCTGTTGGGGTGGTTAAGTCTTTTATATTCTTCCTTCTTACTAGCGCTAAAATTTGCACTAAATAGGACTAAAATATAATGACTTTCTCAATATAGGATTTAAACTTTTTTATTTCTTAAATAGGATTTAATAATGACCTAGTGGGAAGAATAATGTCCATAGACTTTACTTGAATAATGACTACTTGATAATGACCAAAAGTCATACATTGGGAAATAAAAACATATGATCATATATTGGGAAAGTCATTATGTTTTAGTCCTATTTAGGTAAATTTCTCTTACTAGTTTTCAACAAAATAAATCTATTAAAATAATTTTTATACTAAAATACGTTATCATTTTGAGTAAATTCTATCAATCGTCCTTTATAATAGAGAACTTTTCATATTTAGGCATCGTTTTGTTCAACTTATTTTTTCTGCTTTTTTCTCATTCTTATTTAAATCGGATCAGATCAAATCACATCAGATCAGACCAGACCAGATAATATCCAATCAGATCAAACCGGATCCAATCAAGAACTATTATTATTATTATTATTATTATCATCATCATCATCATCATCATCATCATCATCATCATCATCATCATCATCATCATCATCATCATCATCATCATTATCGTAATCACTACATACTTTTTAAATTCCATACCTTTTACTTGTTTCACTTGATACGATTCTTTCTGATGGAAAATAATATGTGGCTCAACCCACATTTCCCAATTATTTACGAAAAACAATCAAACCAGGCCTGTTTAATAAAATGGAATAATAAGAGAATATTCTCAGACTATAAAAGAAGGGTTGCCCTAATTGTTAAGGGGAGGCCAAGTTTTATACTCTCCCCTGCCCACTTCATTTCTCTCTCTAGATTATTGTGCATTTTCATTCTTCAAAGGAGCTTCAAGCTTCCATTAATGGCTTCCGAGCCCAATTCATGTACCGTGTACAACACTCCCGATATGAATAAAAATCCCCCGTTGGCAAGGTACCGCCAAAAAAGACCCGTGGTTTTCTCCCGATTTGTGTTTCCACGTCAAAATTCTCGTGTTTATATTTTGGTGTATTTTTTAGACTTGTTTATCGTTTTTGCCCGGCTAAAAATGATATACCGGTCGATAATTTACAACATCATTTTGGCGCCACCCGTGGAACCGAAATTTTATGTATGAGGTACCACAAAATTTTTCATCACTTTTGTAAAAATGAGAGAGAGAGAGAGAGTAACAAAAGAGGATTACTTCACTGATGTGAAGAAAAAGAAAACAGAATGCAAAAGGAAGAAGCCTGGGGAGGACTCAAACTTCTTCGGGATCATGGTAAAAGTCTAACTTCTTCAAGTGGAAGATGCGATCCGTCACCGCCACTGCAATTGTCAAACATCTTCAATCATTGGAGAAGTCAGAACTTCTCCAACTGAAGGACGCAATCCATCACCGCCACTGCAAAAGTCTAACTTCTTCTTCGATCATAGGAGGACTCAAAATTGTCAAAAAACAGCTCCACGACGCCTAGACCATCCCAATTTTGGGGGCTGCATGACCTTCTGTCTCTCGGCGATTTGGATTCCTCCAATTCGCCCATCGGCCTCCAGAGAGCAGCTTCATAGCCTCTGTAAAAACTAACTACGAGCTCTTATTATTTTCCAATTGCACAGAGCCGCTGGAAAATCAGGATCGACTTCGTATTTCCTTTCCAGCTTGTAAGAAATATTTATACGTTTGACCAAAAATAAATGGATTTTCAAAATAATGACGTTTTCTTAAAAACTTATTTTTATGGATATATCTCGAATAGACGAATCCAATAGTACATTTTATGAACCAATCTGATATATAGATTTCAAGATATGACCATTTTAAATATTAAAATTTATAACTTTGACCCATAAATTAAACTCAATTCAAAAGTGATTTTATAAAATTAGAAATTTTAATCTTTGGCACTTAACAATACCATATTCATCATTTGGATTTAATTCATATATTTTTATCTCATTCATATTATTAAATTAATTCATGACTGAGACAGACCCAGACATTAAAAAAAATAAAAGTTTTCAGAAAAATATTTTGATTACGTCAAAATTCTAGTTTTGAGAGTCTCATTCCAAAAACACAATTCGTTTTCAATTCGGAACAGTTTGGGCGAAAAAGCGCGTACCGTTTTAGCCAGTTTATCAGTTACGGAGTAGGAGAATATTTTTAAATCTCCAAAATCTCCTCTCAATCACGTACGCCACCTTGTGAAATCCCTTGAAGTCTATAAAGCCACCCACTACACCACAATAATCCAAATTTTTCTTTATAATACTCCACCACCACTATTATCATCATTATCATCATCTTCCACCATCATCTCATCTCTCTCCTCAATACATTCTCTCTTTGTCGACAACCAAGGAAGGAGGAAAACCAGCCCATTTAACTCCATTTTTGTGCTAAGGAAGAAGAAGAAGCAAGAAACCATCCAAAATTTCCAAACCCTGAGTCAAAAAACGCAGCAGCCACTTCAAGGTAAAAAATGAAATTTTTCATTCATATTCTCGAAATACTTTCTACACGGAAGTTGTAGCCTCGGATGTTACGAATCCAGCCCAACAAATAGTTCGCGATTTCTTTAACTAACGAAGAAGATATGGCCAAAATACCGGGACTGCGCCAGTGGTGGCGAGCTCCTCGGGTTTGCTATGTTTGCTCACCATATTCATGTTGTTTCATTCCAAACACTCACCCTAAACTCTCTAACGATTATTAGGAACATCTGGAAGGTATCGTAGAGAAGGTTCGATGTTGGAATATTGAAGTTGATGAGTTGATCGTCGGAAATCGTTGTTCATCAAAATATCAAAATCCTGGCAGCACATATCCATCCACTTCTAAGCTATGTTAGACCTGTTTAATTTCATTATTTTGATATAGTTTCTTCACAAAAGTTATAGCATTACATCTTAGGAATCCACAGAATCAAACGGTTTGCAATTTCATGAAGAAACGATGGAGATATACCCAAAATACAGCAGGCTGTCCAATTGTGACGGGAATGACAAAGTTGGTGAACTTCGACGTTGTTTTCACTCCCGTTCTTTTGCAAGGTTTTGGCTATTGATTTCCAGGTCTGTACCCTTGCGTTAAACTTGTCGAATCATTCATCACATACGTACATGAATGGTGGTCCCAAAGTGGTGAGATACAAAGTCTAGAAGGGGGGGGGGTGAATAGACTTTGTTACAAGTTTAAAAACTTTTTCGTTTCTTTTGAAAACGTGAAAATGAGTGTTAATCTAGAGTTCTTGTGAACTTAGATTGTGTGCAGAAGTTGGCGGGTAATTAGAGCAGTAATCAATATGGATGGGTTAGTTTCACATTTAATATAAGCGCAAGTATAAGTAAAGATAAAAGAGAGAGAGACACGCAAACTTTAACGAGGTTCGAAGGTGGGGTAATCCTTCTACGTCCTCAAAATCCACTATGTAGTTGGTTGTTGAATAATGAACCAACAATTACACTTTTGTGAATTTCTGCACGGTATATCTTCACAAGGCCAATGTTGCTACTGCACTCGTGCTGGCTTTGTTGTTCCTTCGAAGGTCACACTTCTTTAACAACTGCAAGATCCGAACAGTAGGACTTGCAAGATCAACTTTAAGAAAAGTTGATGTGCCCCGTTTTAATCAAGAAGTTTGATTAAAAGTTGTATCCTTCAACGTGGTGTGGTACTTGAGGCAAGAAAACCTTCAAGTGTTTACACTATAGCTCTTTGGAAGAAGGAGGAGTTTGCTTCTGGATTTGTCTTCTTGTGTTTGTTCAGGAATTCTGGGCGAGCTCTTCAATTTGAGAAGTCCAGACTTTGTCTTCAAGTCATTTGTTCTTGAATCGGCTTAATTATCCTCAATCTAGCCGTTGAAAATCAAGAATTTGATTTTTCCTTACCAACGGGTAGAATTTCTTCATTCATGACTTAGATAATTTTTAAGTCTTTTCTCACTAGTCTGCGTCTGAGAATTCTAGTCTTCCTTGAGACATCCGGATCTTTGCTGACAATTCCGGATTAGTCATTCTTAGACTTCCAGGTGAGAAAGAAATCCGCGCTAGTCTTCCGATCAGGGTGAGTTAGCCTTCAGCAGGTTGTTGCGAGACGTCCGGGTATCATAGAGTATTCCGGATTTTAAAATCTTCAAAGTAACCAACTGCTTTGAGAATTCCTTACTTGTCTCTGACATTTCCGATCAAGAATTCCAATTTCCATATCACTGAATTTGATTAAGTCTTCAAAGAGTAACATCAAACCACAAAATGAAATATCACAAGCTTTATTGAAAATCTCAAGAACTCGGTTTTAACAATATTTCTAAAAAGAAAAATTACATTGAATATTGGGGGTGACCTAAAGTCTCTATTACAATCTAAATACATCATCATCAAAATCTACAATTTTTTTCCCAACAATGAATATATATATTAATCCTTATGTTGAAATCATCCAAAAATATATATGTGATACATATATAAGTCATCCATGTGTTGAGATCAAAATACACAAATCCATAAAGTTAATATATACATAAGTAAATATAAACATTGGAAATCAACCCAACAACATGTATATGTTAATCAAAGGTGTTTAAAAGACTTAAGGAAGTACTCTAGACACTCAAAATATCAAGAATAAGATTTGCAGACCCAAACGGTCGACGCAAACGGTCGACCGTCGTATTAAACTTCAAAACGGACTACTACTGTCAACAGAACGGTCGACTGCCGTAGCCAAACGATCGACCGCCGAAGCTCAGCCGAACGCAGCCACACTGAAGCAGTCAACAACGGTCGACCGCCGGTCAACCACGGTCGACCGTCACGGTGTTCCAGACTGACGAAATGAATTGAAGCACAGTCGACCGCCGTGTCAAACGGTCGATCGTTCCGAGCCGAGTAGCTTAATTAAATGATATTTTAATCATGTTTCATCCAATTAAACTCATGCATGAATATATAGTCATATTGTTTACAAATTGCTCATATCATATCATTCATTTCATCATTCATATTGATCATATTGAAGCATTTCACATCATATGCATGCGTAAGAGATCATGCCTCGTGCGTCTCTTATAGCGTGATTGTGCGGGACTTAGCAGTCCGACACCACACGTTCGGGCTTAGTGTACGTACATGGTATTCAGGCTTTCGAGTACCACCCCCATTTTTTCTAGTCTCACCTCATTCGTGAGACTAAGGTGGCGTGAGTTCGTCGTACAACCTGGGCGAATCTCATAGCGCAAGGGTCGTCCTTGCACGTTAGTTTCATGCATCATGTTATCATCATCAAGTACAATTATATTGATTACATAGGTGTCATGTAATCATCATCAAGAACAATCAAATTAATTAAATGTGAAATCATGTTATCATCATTAAGTACAATTATATTGATTACATAGGTGTCATGTAATCATCATCAAGAACACTCAAATTGATTAAATGTGGCATCATGTAATTATCATTAAATATTTATCATTATGAACCATCAACTTGGCCATATGATATAATGTGCCATATCATGAATATTGTTATACATTTTTGTGGACGTATATATATGTATATGTATATGTCTGTGAAATTATTCTACAATTCTAGCGTGGTACCACTCAGCGGTTTCGCTGAGCGTGTAGTTTGTATTTTTCGTTGACTACACGTAGGTAACAAGAAGATAATGACGGAACCACTCCCGGAGGGCAATGAGTCGGAGGAGATGCAGGGATTGCAGGCAAATGTTTGATCATCAAGATTTTAAATGTGTCATGATTTGATTATTATTGTACTTCCGCGTTACTCCAAAAATATTTTTAAATGGGTCGCGATCCAGAGTCTGTAAATTTAACATTTATAAGTAATTTTCATTTTCAAATGTCAAGCGAAATTTTTATTTAACTCCGGTTTCACCTTAATACGTGTAATTCCGGGTTATACAGATTATGGTGTTACATGATATATGGAGGTGGGTCTACTAGTCCTATTACATCTTGAAATTCACCACTTGTATAAATCTTTGAAGAATCAAACAAAGAGAAAAAGTGGTCAGCATGTGAAGAGATTAAGAAAGGGGTCCAGCATTAATTGATGAAAAGAAAGGAGCACTGCATGGAATGGGATTAAATTGGGGACAACATGCCATTATCCATGGCCCCTGATTATCAATTATAAAGAATATTGGAGGGTGGATACTTGCTCCCTTACCTCCCTATCAATATTCAACAAAAGGACAAGTCAGAATACTAATGAAGCAAAATGGTGGGGTCTTTTGGTGTAATGACCTTTGGAAGTATACTCCTGTTGAGGAATGCTCCCTGCAACGTTCCCGTGCTAGTGGACTCTACCAAGGAGCTGTGACATACTCTCAAACAAATTTTAGAAGGAAGACTGAGACAAAGGCCCGGACCTGGCACGCTGGTTACTACACCGGTCTTGCTCAGTATAAATAAAAAAAGAGAAAACCCGAAAGAGGGGCCCCGGATAAGTGGTATGCCTGCAAGAGGGCTGGACCTGGAAGAAGGTTCGAACCGTACTTACACGGGCCCATGAGGTTTGACCGGTATTGGGGAATCAGCCAAGACCATCAAACTGATTGGGGACTAAAAGATGCCCATTAAAAGAAATAGAAAAGGACCGTTCAACGCAATGCATCCTACTCCGACCGGTTCGGATTCCCCTTCTTAGGGAAGACTTGAACGGGAGGGTGAGCTAAGGCCTTCCCGGGATAGTGGAAATCAAAGGGCTATTAAAAGACTTAATCACCCGGAAGAGGGGGCCCTAGAAGAAGGGTGCATTTTGGGCCTTGGAGAGGGCTCGAAACCATTCGACATGGTTAATTCTCTAATGTTGATCTGGCCCGGCCAGCAGCATTATCTTATAGGAAGACTAAGACACAGGCCCGGCCTGGCACGCTGGTTACTACACCAGTCTTGCTCAGTATAATAAGGAAAATATGTGACCCAGTTGAACTGGTACACTGGTCTCACACCGGTCTTGCACATATTTTCCAATAAGCCTGAGCCGAATCGAATTAGGTACACCGGTTGCACATCGGTTTCAGCAAAAAAATGATCTGAGCTCATATCGGGGATGCCCGATTCATTTTAAGCCCTCTATCTGAGGCACTATTATCGAAGATTGTCTCCGCGATACATGAAGATATTTACATCAGTCAGCCGGGCTAACACTGATCTTCAACAAAGCTACCGCATCGTATTCAATTCTTACTGACTAACGTCATTGTCATCAGTATATTAATTTTGTCACGCATCGTTTGCTTGACTCGTATTAACACCGGCCTCGACGAAATAACTATTTGAGGCAGCGCCGCTTCATCAAACTAACATCGCTCTCGTTACGATAATTATTCGCGTGAAGTTTAATCACCCTAACACCGAACTCCTCGGTAAAGATAATAATTTTTTGATCACGACATTGGACGGTCAAAAATTTTTTTTTGTACATATTATTTTTTACAGGAAAAACTTCTGATTCAAGAAATTGGAGAATTAATGAAGACTCGGAGGACTAGCAATAATATCAACCGGTCAAGAATCCAAAGTACGAAGACTGAAGATAGCACTCGGAGGACTTGTTTACTTTTTTAAGTTGATGATTCTCACACCTTAAAAAAGTGGAGGACTTCTTGATGGGAAATAATACATGGCTCGGCCCACATTTCCCAATTATTTACGAAGAACAATCAAACCGGGCCTGTTTAATAAAATGAAATAATAAGAGAATATTCCCTGAATATTCTTTTCTCCTTCCCTATAAAAGGAGGGCTGCCCTAATTGTTAAGGGGAGGCCAAGTTTTATACTCTCCCCTGCCCACTTCGTTTCTCTCTCTAGATTATTGTGCATTTTCATTCTTCAAAGAAGCTTCAAGCTTTCATTAATGGCTTCCGAGCCCAATAATTCATGTACCCTGTACAACACTCCCGATATGAATAAAAATCCCCTAGTGGCAAAGTACAGCCAAAAAAGGCCCATGGTTTTTTCCCGATTTAGGTTTCCACGTCAAAATTCTCGTGTTTATATTTTGGTGTATTTTTTAGACTTGTTTATCGTTTTTGCCCGGCTAAAAACGATATACCGGTCGATAATTTACACCATCACTTTCAAAAAATAAATTTAATTTCTCTTGGAAAAATATAAGAAGAAAGAAAATGAAACTTTTGTGTGCTTATAATTTATGTAGAGAAAAATAAAATGATATGAAGCACAATTTTTTCCTTAAAAATGAAAAGAATAAACTTTAGAAACAAGTTAAATAGAAAACTGAGAAAGTAAATCTTAATTATTTGACGTTTGAAAAATTATTTTTAAAATACATTGACAATGTCAATCTAATTCTACTTTTAAAATACATTTTTTATTGCTACCTGTAATTTGAGTTTCTAAAGTTATTACATTATAAAATGTGAATGAAAAAATATTATTACATTATATTATTACATTATAAAATTAGTTAGTATGAATTAACTAATTTTATTTCATTAAAAAATAATCAAAAAATAAAAAATATTGATTATATCATAATATGAATTATCATTCAAATTTTCAAAATTTATTATAAAGTCGGATCAAATTATTGATTTGAATTTTAAATCAAATCATAATTAATCAGATCGGATCAAATCAGATTCAATCTGATCATATCAAATCCAATCGGATCAGACCAAATCAGATCCAATAACATCAGATGAGATCCAATCAATCAGATCAGAACTATAAAAAATCAGATCAGATCAGAAAATTAAGTTGAACAGAACGGAATCTAAGTCCTCAATTATCAAATTTTACATTAATAATCCTTCTTAATTAGGTATTTTTTCACGAATAGTTCTCTGGCTAACATTTTATTTATGTTGAGGGATATAAAGGTAATTTCAATAGTCAACAAGCGGTAGTTCGATTTGATCGTGGCTCTAAATTTCAACATTGGAATTCAATTTCTACAATTCCCCCAAATTGGAACGCTAGGGTTAGGGGAGGGATTCAAATCTTTCAGTAAGAATTCCTAAGTTTGGTCGAATTTGTACCCATAGAAAGAGGCGCCGAGGAAGAACACCTCGCCGATAAAAGTAGAGGTTGGGCTGGCGAACTGGTGCCCGGAGATGGAGGACTGTGGACTATCCGTCTAAGAGGGTGTTTGGCAGTGCGCTGCTTTTAATAATTTAATTTCTGCTTTGAGTGGAAGTGATTTTACTCTGTTTGGCATGTTAGCTTCTGCTTTTCACCACCACTATTTTGTACATAGAACACCGTTTCGGAAAAGCAGGTATGAGGTGTTTTTGCTTTCAGCTTTTGTGGAAATTACCTTATCCACAAGTTAATCACTCCCAAACACCCTTTAAGTTCTAACCCCTGCTTCTCTGGGTGATTTATAAAGTTTGTCAATTGATTTAAAAAATATATCGTTGTGTAGAATTTTGGTTGTCTGATTGCAACGGTACAATCATAATTTAATTCGGAAATAGACCAAAAAGTGTACGTGGGACCAAATTATCCCAATCACAGAAGAGCCATAAGAATATGATAGAATCGGCCGTCCCTCCCATTTCCTCTCTTTACTAACTTTATCGACCACTAAAATATCCAAACTCGAACCAAGAATAAAATAATTCGAACCCGACCGAAATTTTTTTACTCGAACCCGACACCAAGACGGGTCTGGCGCGGGTTTATAATTTTACCCAATCCGACCCAAACTCGAATATTTTATAATCTAAAAGCTTATCTATGGATATAATGAGCATTCCGTATAATCTCTTGATAAGGTGCTACTATATCAAGCAAAAAATTACTGTCGGGTACCCTCAATTTTGTGATAAGAACTGGCAGATCCCATTATTTTTCCAAATATACTCCGGGGTACCTCAAATTATCCAAACAATTACTAGAAGGTGACATTCCGTCCATGCCTCCGTTAGTTTCTCTATCCGTTATCTTTTTCTTCTTTCTTTCTTGTTTCTTTCTCTTTTTTCTCTCTCTTTCTTGTACCAGCCCCCCCACCCCCCTCCCACCTTCCCAATCCCCATCAGAGACCAGCGCCCCCCCTCCCACCTTCCCAATCCCCATTTTTTAGAAAGAGCTAGACTAAACTATACAACATCCGTTCCACAAAACCCTTCCTCTTTCGTTTTTTTTGCTTTCACAAAACACTTCCACTTTCTATTAAAAAACCACTTTTACCCCTACTTTTTCATACCCTACCTATCACATCATACTTTTTCACTAATAACCAAACTATCACATCTTACTTTTTTCCATCACATTAGGGGCAAAATTGGAAAGTCAACCAAAATTATACTTTCCTTATTTTTGCCAAAAGTCAAAATGGGAATGATTTTGTGGAACGGAGGGAGTATATTTTAGAAAAATAGAAGTACTTATTATTATTATTATTATTATTATTATTATTATTATTATTCAGGCGGAGTATTTATTATTATTTTCATCGTATTCTATTATTATTATAATAAATTACTCCGTATTATTTTTATTTATTATTATTACTATTACTATTATTAAAATTAGTTATTATAAAAATAGCATTGATTTTTATTTAGGAAAATAGCACTTATTATAAAAAAACACTTATTATTAATACTATTATTTATTAAAAGGAAATAATTAGTAATTTTACTACTTTACTCTTTTATAAAAATAACAATACTTATTAGTATTACTTTGTATTATTTATTATATATTTCTTATTTTTTATTTTTCTTCTATTTTTTTTAATTTATTATTATTATTATTAAAAGTTACTCCGTAATTAGTAATTTTGTTACACTATTTTTTAAGTAAAATAAAACTAATTATTATTTA